ATGCCTATCTCTTGAATGTGAATCAAAAATAAAATATTGTTCTTGTGTGGATATGATGCAAATGTTTGGCCACCAAATGTACAAAAGCATGCATCATGTCTATCTAATTCCTGATGGAGAGCATCTTTTATGTTACTGCATTAAAATGACTTAAAAAAGATTCATCTCCACAAATTATACCCACAACACTCTGAGAACATTGCATCTTAAAATGGACATCAAAAGCTTCTAATTGATCAGGTAACTCAGATATCAATAAGAAATCTTCATTTATTGCAGAACTAAGCTGAATAAATCTATACAACTCATTACCATAATTCAATACCTTGTCAAGATCTTGTTTTTGCCATTGGGAAACATCTGTAATTTTACTGTATAAAATAGCAGCAAAACTGTTAGAAACACATTGCTTTCCAGAATAAAATCCAAATCTAGCATTTCCTTGATGAAAATTGCCCAGGGCAACACATTGCACAAGTGTATTTTGTTCCATATTTGACATGTTCTCATTTGGTATTTGCTTCTCTTCTAAATTTACATTAGAGGTGTTGACTGACTGTTTATGAAATGTACTATCATGTTTCATTTCAAACATTTTCATAGGAATAGACTTGTCCACATGTTGCTTACAATCTTTATCCACCTTTACTTCACCCGCGTTTTCAGTCTTTCCGTCACATACTTTTCCTTTATCATTTGGTTTTGCACCACCACATACTCGAAATGTGCTCTGTTCTTTGCCCTTATATTGTTTTAAAAAAACATGACTGCATGTCGCACTGCCAACAATAGAATGTTCCTGTATTATTTCATTTTGTACATGGCCTACTACATCAGCCCAAGATTGTTTTTGCTTCATGTTATTTTCTTGTAGAGTTTCGTTTCATGGGACATCATAGATTTTGGTGATTGCACACACTTTGAGTATTCATTTAGCAATTTTTCTGCGTACATTTGAACATTATTTTCCAATACATTCTGACATTCTACATCTCTGTTTAGTTTGATGTCTACTTTGCGTTTTGATTTTTTACTTTTTCGTCTTTCGTAGAAAGATTTCATTGCTTTGCCAATGTACGTTACTCCAGGTTCTAAAACAACACCATTTATGATTCTCTTTTTCTGACCTGTTCCACTGTCACTTTTTGCTGTTGAATGTGATATTCTGTCTTGGATCTTTTCCAACATCTTTGCCTTTTTTGATTTCACTTTCATCCATTCATTACTGCCTACTTCTTCGCTATGCACTTGATCACGTTGTTTGGGGGAATCTCTTTGAGTGACTAGATGATCATGTTCATGCGTGTCAAACTCACTTGATTTCATTACTTTTACACTTTGATTTCCTGGCTCTATAATGATTTTCTTGCATTTCTTAAAATACCTTTTCTTTGATCTGCATTTCTTGTGTTTGTCATTTTGCTTGGTTAAGAGGAGCACATCATCATTGAATACTTCATCCACTGTCTCGAGAGGCTGGTATCTATTGATATGAGAGGGGATACATACTTTATCAAATAGTCGATGTGCAATGTTGTTATTTCCACAATATGAACATATCCAGATTAATCTTTGCTCATTTACTAGATCTTGACACAAAAAGCCCATACATGTTACATGATAATGTTCATTGCAGCTCTCACAAGTAGCTTTGTTTTCACTTTCTTCAATTGTATTTTTACAGACACAACATTCTTCATTATGCGGATCGCATGTATATAGCATATCTACAATCTCTTTCATCACTTCCTTGAATTGATCAATTTCAAGTTCCATAATTAAGAAATATAAAATTCAGTAATATGAAATAGGTTAGAAAAGTTCAGACAGCTTAGTATAAAATAGATTTAGAGATCTTGTAGGAATAACTTTTGTGATTAAGAATAGATTTAGAAAGTTTGTAGAATAAGAGAAGATTTGTGAAATTTAGAAAATTCAGTAATATAAAGTATCACAAGTAAAAAGTAGGACTTCTTCTGTAGCAAACATTTAAGACTTCTGTGATTAGGTATAGAATGCTTCTGCATGAATATATAATAATGTTCTCATAATTGCTTTTGTAAATTTTTCATTTGTTTTTGCAAGTGTGAAGATGAAATGGGATGAAATGGATAAAAGACACAGCCAATACGGTCTACAAGAGACAGCTGTGGTACACTCTCTTCGGAGAGCAGGATCTTTCTGAGATAAAGAAAAGTGAATGATGAATATACGTCTGAAGACAGTTGGGAAGGGAATATGGGTGAAGATGAAATGGAATTGTTCAGTCCGCCAACAAGCTCAATGAGAATGAAAGGAATGTAAAAGTCTCCGCCTAGGAAAAGAAAAGAACCATAAAATTAGAATATGACATGTAAATCTTGGAATGATCAGTTGTACAAAGTTTCATTTGAATTACAGACAAAATGTACATAATTTTAAATACTGTATCATACATTCCCATCTACAATCATGTCACATAAACATTTCATAATTTTCTAAGTCATTCTTATCAATTATCACTTTTTTAATCTCTTGAATGTTAGTTATCTTACATTTTTTCCCATTGCTTTATTATATATTCCATGTTTTCTTCGAGACTTTTCTTTAAATATTTCTTTATCTCAATCTTAATCTTATTATTTGATTTATTACAAATTTTCCTATATATTTCTTTTCTATAATCATTAGGATTTTTAATATACAACTTATATAGTCACATATTTTCTTACTCAACTTTATAATTTTATTTGTAATCCAAGGTTTATTTTTACGCTTATATTTCATACACATTAATTTCACAGGGAAACACGAGTTATAGTTTTGTGAATTTAAAAACAAAGCTATCATAAATATTATTTACATCACTAGATAGATACCATTTACCTTGAATACAGCAAATGCAAACAAATTCTAATATTATTTTTCTTTAAATCATGTTTAAAAAAGTCAGTTTCACAGGTACATTTGTGAATAGCCATATCACAAATACAATATACTGGGAAGTGGTCAGAAATGTCAGTTAATAATATTCAAAAATAAATATGGCAAAAATCATATAAATATATCATCTAATAGCGATGAAAATCTGTCAGTAAAACAGGTTGGGTAATTTATAAAAGAATCATGGAATGTAGCATTAAAATAAACCTACTCTCCAGAAACTTTGCTTCTCCTAAAGTCCAAATCACTCAATTGATGCCATCAGTCTTCAAAAGAAAAATAACAAAGTAAAAAGTAAAACATGACCAAAATATTTATTTAAACAAGTCAACGCAAAGCGTAGCATCCCCTCGCAGGGTACAAATGGCCTACATATACATCAAAACAAGTTACCTCCATTGGGGCTATACTATTATATTAGTAGGCAAGGAAGTTGACCACATTTTTACAGATATAATTAGGTGTTTTTGCTTATTTAATGAGCTACATGTATGACTTTTCTCCTTTGACCTACATACTCCGAGATCAAACTTAGGCTGTATTTTGATACCATGACCTTCATATCAAATTTTATTAAAATCCGCTAAACGTTACTAAAGTTATCAAACAAAAACCAGATTCGTATATTTAATGAGCTATGACACTTGACCTACATACTCAAAAATTGAACTTAGGCTGTGTTTTGATATTATGTACCTTTATTTCGAATTTGATTAAAATCTGTCAAACATTAAAGTTATCAACAAAAACAAAAAAAATCGCATATTTAACACTTTGGAGACGACGGGATTCTACAGAAGACGAGCAACTTTTTAAGTCTGTGACGACGGGTTTCTACAGAAGCCGAAATGTATCCCCAATATTTTTCCAGCTTATCATAAGCTATTATGTGCTAAAGTTGTTTAAAGTATTATTTAGATATATTCATTCATTTCATCTATTAAAAAAAAATTACGTTACGTGGAAAAAAAGTGATATCATTTCAACTTTACCCTAAGTTAGTGTTCGGATCGAAAAAAAAGCCCTTGAAATACCGGTACAGCTGGAGACGGATCAGTGATTGGATTATTTTCGCTGAGCAATATGAGAGGGCGTTGTTTTCCTTACATTTTCATAGATGTATTGTAGTTATTCATATAATAATATTATTAGGCCTATAGTAGGCCTATTCATAAAGACCTAGGACTATTCCTTTTAAATAAAATTTGCTATATGCCGCGTTTCACTTGCCCACAAATTACCAAGCTTACCCTCAACTGTGTAGTATATAAGTACGCATTTATAAAAGGACTTGGTAATTCTTCTCCCCTGTAATTACCAGTGCCGGAACTCTGACTATACCCTTTTCATTTTATCAACTTGACCAATTTAGCGAATCATTCATGTATGGATCTCCTCTTTTATAAAACGCCTATCTCAGCTGCCTGGACCGGACCCCACCCTAAGAGGAACAAATAAATGTAAAGAAGTAACTACCATTGTTCAGTAGCTACCATTGTTGAAAAAAAAATGCAAGTTTTCTGGCAATAAAAAAAAGCGAGTGCAAGATGAAGAAAATAATTTGTATTACCATTACTACTTTATTACAATATTGTAAGCATCATCAATTCATCATCATCATCATCATCATCATCATTTCATATATACATTGTACATGTACATACCATTTACAAAACTGATCATGAAACAAGGATTAACAAAGTTTTATTGACACGATAGGTTGAGCGAAAACACAAATGGAGACGAAAACAAATAAATTGAATTCTCACAAGGGATTTGACCAAAACCAGTCTAGATGTTCAATGGTTATCCTGATAAATGGGATTTGTGTGTCATTTTATTTTATAAAATATATTTAGGTAATAGTGGTAAGATGATAATATGATAAGGCACACAACGGCTTTTTTTTCTTCAGATGGCAGTTCTATTTGAATAATCATGATCCCCTCCCACATTGAAAAAAGTAAAAGGCAGATATAGATTTACAAATGTTTTGCCTTATTTGTTTTTATATGTGTTCTATTAACAACATGATATATTACCATTATCGATTTCCTGTCACAGCCAAAAAGGGGGGTGGTGGCATGACTAGCTTTTTATTGTTGATTGCTATCATTTGTGTATTGCCCCCGAATCACAGTCATTTGTTTTATACATATTGGTATTGTTTTAGTGTGCCTATGTTTCTCATCATTGTCCACCTCAACTGTTGTGTTTTTGTTTGCACTTTTTTCCTTATTGTTTCGTAACATGTATTGAATTACTATATTTTAAATATCATTTATTTTTTTTAATAAATAAAGGACTACCAAGACTACGGTGATTAACTCCTTTTTAGCCACACCCTTTTAACAAAAACAACAAAACAAAAGAACAGCGCGATGCGGAAATAAATTACACTGAAGCACAATTCCAATTTTACGAAATTGCTGACATATTCAGAGAGGGAGGGGAACGAGGGAGAAAGAGAGAGAGAAAGAGAGAGACAGAGAGACAGAGACAGAGATAGATAGATAAATAGATAAAAGAGAGAGAGAGTTGATTGTGATAAATTACGATTTTGTTTTAATCTCTGTCATTCATTTAGCTCTTTTCATTACAAACAAAAAAATCAAATATGCGTACAAAAATTCAATAAATCAGCAACCTCATATCAAAATAGGGTTTTAAGAGATGTATAGATAAAGAAAAAAATAAACAAAATTAAGCGGGAGCCAAACTAAAACAAAAATTAATATTTCAAATTATGAAAAACTATTAAGTCGAAAGCATTCAAAGTAAATATTATTTTTGTTTTCGAGAATAAAACAATGTTCATCTCAAAATTCATTTCCCAAATAGTCCTATATTTGATTTGTGTTGTATCTCTGATACACTATAACATATGTGCTTTACCTGAGAGTTATTGTCTTATTGTCACTGGCTGGTATGTATATTACATTGGCATGTACATTACATTAGCATGTGCATTACATTGGTATGCATTGCAGCTGGCATGTCCATTATGCTGTTCTTTATACATAACAATTTGCACATTTTAAAAAAAGGGCATTTACTGTAGATCATGGCATAATGTTGGTCAGAATATAGTTACAAAATGTGTCGAAAACCCATGTAAAGCGAAGGCTTAGACCTATTTTTAACATACAACTTATATAGTCACATATTTTCTTACTCAACTTTATAATTTTATTTGTAATCCAAGGTTTATTTTTACGCTTATATTTCATACACATTAATTTCACAGGGAAACACGAGTTATAGTTTTGTGAATTTAAAAACAAAGCTATCATAAATATTATTTACATCACTGGATAGATACCATTTACCTTGAATACAGCAAATGCAAACAAATTCTAATATTATTTTTCTTTAAATCATGTTTAAAAAAGTCAGTTTCACAGGTACATTTGTGATTAGCCATATCACAAATACAATATACTGGGAAGTGGTCAGAAATGTCAGTTAATAATATTCAAAAATAAATATGTTCTTATTCCAAATATGTTGTAAAAAAAAACCTCTCCCACACCACATCTGTTCAGAGCCAGAAGGGCATTAATTCTGAGTTACATCCTTCTCGTTGCACACATACAATATTATTAAATAAACCAATTTTACCGTACCTGTTCCACAATATTAAAAAAAAAAAAATAAAACAGCAGTCTCTTACCTGTATAATAGCAGCATTCAACACGATAAGGTTAACACCACACACGTTGTATTCATTGATGCAAAAGGAGAAAAAGAAAAAAAAACAAAAAAACATTTAGCAAAATGTAATGATATACATGTAGGTCTATTACAGTACATTAATGACAAAAATCATAGAGATCATTTGATGAGATTGATAAAAATAAACACAACATTGTAAATTATATTGATTAATGTCAGACTACTCAAGTTTTATTTAGCTGGTAGCTTAGCACAAATTTAGTGGCATGAAAGAATGCGTCCAGTAAGCAAAGTACATAATAGTTCATGAGAACTAGAGATGAAAACTTGTAATTTGACATGCCCTGATGACATTTATTTTGTAATATTAATAGCAATCAAGGTACAGTAGTACAGCTGTAGAAAAAATTAGTAAATCTGTGTCCTGACTCCTAATCATATATGGTTTTACCTCAATGGAACAATTAAAATTAAAAAAAACAATTGTACAATTTGCGTTACAACGTGTCCATTAAAGATAAAGACCATTTATGGTCATGCGATTGCATTGTAAAAAAAACGTTGTGGAATCGATCAGTAAAGGTTGATCATCTAGCATATAAGTATTGGTATGTACTGCAACTTGCAAGGTTCTAGAATCATCAAAATGATAAGAAATTTAGCCCAGTTTTGATAAAGTTACAAGCACTGTACACAGAAAGATGTATATGGGACTACCTACCTACACACGTGTGTGACACGTGCGTTATATCTATCAGGTCCAAACAGATATAATACTTTATCAAATATATCAAATAGTAGACAGTTTCTCAGCAACAGGGAAAAAATTAATATTTATTTTTCGGGGGCTACTTTTCAACCTTGCCTGCATTTCAACCTTGCCTGCATGAAAATAACGTTCTAAAATTTGTTTTGCATTGAACTCTATGCAAATTTAAGGGGGTTCTTTTCTGATTTTTGGGGGCTCTTTTGGGCATTTCGGGGGCTATTTCACCCTGAGCCCCCGTGTTTTTTTTCCACGCATTAGTCAAAACATATTCTTTTACATGATTGGTAATAAGAGCTTTCATTTTATTTTATGAGGATGGCATTTCCCAAACTGGTCTTTATGTTTAATGCCACTGCTTTGTACCAAGCTACCTTTGTAGAAAATTCATAACTTTCTTATTAGTTGTCTGATTTTGCTCTAATTTTTTTTGATTGGTTTGTCTGATTTTTCTGCTTCTATGGAAAGTAATTAATTTTTTTAGAGTGGATTTGTCCTTTAAAGCCTCACTGCACTACTTATAGCTACATGGGCCCTCTATACAGCAAACAATGCCTAATTGGTGCCTGTTGGTCCCCCATGATCCCCTTTTTCCTATGGTAATTAAGAGCTGATATGCTGAGATAACCACCTGTCAGTGACCTTGCAGGAAACTCTAATCCCCCTGGCCAAACTAGTACAGACAGGCTTTAAAGGGCAAGTCCACTCCAAAATAACTTGCTTTCAATAAAAGCAATCAAAAACAGTTTGAGCAAAATCGGATAACTAATTTATTATGAATTCTTAATAACATAAAAAACTCTGAAAATCACAAGACAAATTGGCAACTACTGTACATGTAACTCATGAGTCTGTGACATCATTGCCTCACTATCCAATAATTGTTTTTT